ATAAATACTACATTGTATGGAAATAACTATTAAGGCTAATGATTCAAATGTTTCTTTGACTAGCGAATACTTGAGTAGGAGTTAACAGACATGTTTTTTTTTGTTTTTGTTTTCAATGCATAGTTTTTAAAACAACCAATAACATAACTATTAACTACTTCTACCAGCGTTCTGCAAGATTTTAGCATTATCATTTTACAGATCGTGACCTTGTAAAGTTCTCTTTTTCTTTTGAATAACTTTTGAAATATTTATATTCCAAATATTCAAACATAAAATTTTTTTGGCAAAAAATATAAGACTTTCTTAAGGTTAATTAACGAACAGAGTGAATATTTGTGATACAAGTCAATTCTAATTTTATCTGAATTTTCAATTATTCAGGAGAAATATATTTATTTAAGATTCGAAGATTTAACTGATAATATCTCAGAGTTTCTGAATTTCGTCGATAGCGAATGCCTGAGAAAGAATGTCTTTGCAAGAGTTCAAGAAATGACATATTGAAGAAAATCAGGTAATCTTATATTACAATAAAATCGAATGATCGAGTTTATGATCTTGATGATTCTTAAAAGTAGATATCAATGACAATTATTAGCTAGAAAAATGTGGATGAGATTGATTGATCTATTCAGAAGAGATAGACAATAAACCGTAACTGTGGATTGATGATTGTCCCAAAATCAAAAAAAAAGAAACACTTCTCCAGAAGAAAAAGTGAAGAATACAATGAATTCCTAGACAATAGAATGTATGGCTTTGTAGATGAACCGAAAACTCACACCTTATTGTATATATTTCTGTTAAAATTAAATTTTACGAGAAAAAATTTCTTCATTTTATTTCGTCGCATGTATGCAAAGTTTACTGTGTCAACAACAAAAAAAATATTTGAAACAAAATTAAATAAGTTAGAACACAAAATTTAAATCACGAAAGTAGATTGTGAGAAAAAAAGTTTTGAAGCTAATCGTCTCTCCTATTTTCAGCAATGAAAATAGAATAGGATTCAACATCATACTATTCATTGAAACAACGACTTCTTCCATAAACAGATATTAGTAATTTTGAAAAAATGAGTAAAAGTAGATAGGCATATGAAAAAACAATGATTAGCTAAGATATAATCATTTTTGTAAAGTTGTGATGTTATATGCTATTATCAAACGATGTTCGATGGAATATTTTGCAAAGCGATCAATTTACATTTTGTAAACATTTACCAATACTCCAGAAATAAATTTAAAATAAAATCTAAATATGTTTGAAGTATTCTAGAATATGTTTACAAGCCTTTTAGTATCTTTAGAATGTAACAGGAACATGGTTCGATCATAATTTTCTTACAGAATATTCTTTAGTGATGATCGAATTTTCGTTATTTATGATTTATTTTTTCTGAAATCATGCATTTTGATGATTGTATTGTTGAGTTTTAACTTATGCTTTTCATTAAAAAAATTCTCAGAAATTTACAATCTAAAATAATTTTACAGAATAATACCGCGCTTGTCAGGCATCGAACTGAATGAACTCGAACCTGTGGAAGTTGGTTTGATTCCCTTTTCTGATAGTTCTCGTTAAATACTGTCAATGATGAATTGCTTTTTACATTAAAATATTCAATTTTTTTCTTTATTATGAAGTTTTTTTTGTATTGATAATAAAATAATAAAAAGTACGAATAATAAATCAAGAAAAAAGAATTGTTATTTGAATAAAAAGAAACAATGGTGTAGTGCGAGACTTTTTGAATTTATCATTTTCAATGGATTTTCAGAAAACAGTTCAATAGGATGAAGTATGGTAGCTGCTTTTACATATAATCTACTAAACCAAAACGATTCAAAGATTGTAGATGTGATTAAACAGAATATCAACATCTACATCTACATTCTTCTTGATATTATTAAAAGTACTGGTTATAAATGCAAGTTTTAATCCAGATGTTGTGCAACTTTTTCTTAAACTCTAACGACATGGTTTAAAAATGTTTTCGTTGAAACTTCAATGGCTAAAATATGTTTAATGGATACATGTAATCGACTTATTTACTAGTTAAATCAATGATTGAAATCATAATAAAACATACGATATGAAATATAAATCAATAAGCCAAACAGAAATTAGAGCACAAAATAAATGACAATCTATTCTGATTGGTTTTAGAAAATTTAGATATGATTGTTATAATAGAGACCAATTCTAGTAAAAAGAAAAAAAGTTGATAAATTAATTCTTGTTGCTATGTTTCCATTTTATGAATTGATATTTTTTAGTCTTTATTGAGGATGTGAGTATGGATGACAGAGAGAGAGTATATGATTCATCAACATATCCAAACAACATCTACATCCACACCGTATTTTGAATGTGTTCAAGTAAATCAGCATATAATTTTTCTAGATTCGATTCATTTATGAATGCTTGTTCAAATTGACGTCAATGTTCAATATTCGTTAACTAAAATAAATAAAATAGATTTTGCTTTTTTGTTGATACAATTTATATTTGCATGTTTTCTTTTAATATACCTGCAGATACTATTTTCGATCAACAATAAGAAATAAACGATTGTCTGATTCTTCAAAACGAGCATTGAAACATGATAACATCAATAAAAACCTAAAAAAGTAAAAGATATACAATATTATCAATGAAAATTCATTTTGACATTTCATGGCGAAATTTAGTGATTTTGTATTGATCGTCATCCCTTCGGATTGCAATAAAGAGTTTTTGTTTTTCATTAATGTTTTACTATTTATCTTTTCCAAATAAATTTTAATTGTATGTGTAAGTCTTGATAATTTTTAAAAAGAAAACTAGGAAGAATATTTAACCATAGGCAGAATTTTACTCATAAGAGGGTGTGGGTGTGGGTATCATTATAGGTCTTGTCTTCATCCACACCCACACCCTGTGATAGACATGCACTTAACGTAAGACAAGTTAACTCCCATATAGCCATACATAGTGATTTTTTCTTTGTGCAATATTTGTCATTGATAATAAAGTCCATTCATTAACTTTAGCTGAATAACGTGCATTAATTAAAGCACGAAAAAAAAACTAATGTGTGCAAGTAATAATGACAAAGGACGTAATAAAAGTAAAGCTTCATATGCTAATGTTGATGATTGTTTTGTACGTGCATATAATTCTTCAACAAGTTCAATAAGAATATTATCTGATGACGATATTATTGATGAACATCAACTATTGTTTGTTCTTTATTAACATGTTCATTATTTAATGGATTTTGTATTTTTATTTGGTCGTTGTAATAATGCATAAATACATGAAAGTATTAACACCATATATCATTTTTGGGATATTGACCAACTATTAAAAGTTTTTCAAGACTAATTGATATAACTTTTTGTGTTAAATTATCATCTTTAATTAATGATAATCAAATATCGTATGAATTTGAATCAACTTCATGACTGCCAAGTAAAAATAAACATGATGCATATGCATGAGTTTTAGTTATTAATTTCTAATTACGTTCAATTAAACGTAGATATAATTCATTATATTCTTTTGTTCTTTGTTCAAGTAATATACTAGATTTACATAAATTATAACTTATTAAGGATATTATTAAATCATCTTCATCAAACCATGTACAAATAAATCAGATAGATATATAATTGAACCTATTAATTTATATTACATATATTTCAATTAGAATTTGTAATGATAATGTTAAATCAAAACCATGATGAAAAAATAAGTGATCAAATAAACTCTAAATTATATATTTTTAAAGATGGATGCCAGAAAAGAAAATGTTCATACTCTAATTTTCTGATTGATAGAATATATTTGAAATTATTGATATAAGCTTTTATTTCTATGAAATAAGATAGTTTGCATGTATTATATATCAAATCAAAGTCAGAGAAACACTAGATTTTCTATTTGATGGAATTAATAATTTAGCAATGAATTTATCTTTCTTTTAACTTAGAGTTCTATTTGTCGATTATTAAAACATATGTGAGACTTACATTAACTGATAATGGTCATGTATTATTACTTTGGATTGATGTTAATATAGTATCATATGAAAGTTGTTCATAGGATAATAAATCACGTCTACCTAACCATTCAATATTTGTAAATAAATTATTTAAACTTGTATCTAATGTTGAACGTGTTTGCATATATTGACCACCGATAAAAAAACAAAACAGATAAAATCTAGTTCATTTTTCAATCTTGTTACCATTGTGTTGCATTTGTTTCTAAAGTTTCTTCTTTTTTTTTTAAATTATTTGTTGTTTGTTTATTTTCATCATTAGATTGATTTGTGATGAATTAATCGAAGCTAAAAATGAAGCCTATATTTCTTGAAATTGTATTCTTAATAATCAACCAACTCCAAAATTGTCTTTATATATATATTGGTAAACAAAATAATAATATAACTATACAATATTAATCATGTCAATAAATATATGATATATATATATAAATAATTTTTTTTTGTTAAATAATAAAGATGATCTTTTATCTGGTTCAATTAAATTTAAATATGATTATAATATATTTGATATAGTTAAACCATGTCGTTGATAAATATATTCAAATATTGATAATAGTATTTTCGGTAACGTACAACATGATATTATTTGATCTGTTTCATAACTAAGAAATGATGCTTTTTTTTTGTTTTGAAATATATTTATATAAATTATTTCTGATATAAATATTATAAAACGTAATAAATCATGTATATCACCTGTTGAAAATTGACATGTTAATTCAACATAATTTTGTATTTTATCAAAATATATTGATATAGAATCTATGAATGCAATTGAATATGGTTGATTATTAGAAGCATGATAAAAGACTTTTTTCATAAATTGTATTAGGTGTTGTTTCAATGTCATTTTAATTTGTTTCATTTGATATAACTATACAAAATCCTAGAAAACAAACAAAGAACAGATTTATATTGTTTCGTATTTTCTCAAATCAATTTTCATTTACTATAAGAATCATCCTAAAAATTTAATGCTGTGGAAAAAATCCAACACGTTTTCGGAGTTCACGAGTTGAAACTTATAGAAAGTTTATCGAAATTTTCGAATGCAATTTATTTCGAAATATAATATTAGAAAGACGTCGTTTTCTTTAATTGTAACAGTACAAATAGCACGACTGAGAATTTGATCAATAAGATTCGAGAGGAATTATTCGGTCATTGTACTAATGTAGCTTAAATGCTTTCCTTTACGATTTGTATTACCTGAAACTCTGCATATTTTCTATTTCAAAATATTTTTTGAAATTTTGAATTATTCAAAAATCTCATCTATTACTAGCACATAAACAATGTCAAAGTAAAAAAAAAACATTTCTTTTAATTGGATTAAATTTTTTATTATACATATATATATTTATTTTGATAAACCAAACTAAAACATACCGATGACATCATAAATGGTAATCATTTTTTTATAAGTTATATTTTTAAGCATTTGTTCATAAATTTTTCTTGTTATATCCATAGGACAATTAAGATTATTAAAATCTTCTTTAATAATATCGTTTGATATTGTTATTGATAATATTTATAAAATTAATGGTAAATATTTAGGTAATAATTGTTTATTTAATGGTAATGGAAGAAATTGTTCAATTAATAAAACTAATATAAGACCACTTTCATATAAATGTATTCCTTCACAAAAAAAATAAATGACTTGCAACTGATGTATGATGTATAAGATAAAATAAAAAATAATAATAATAATTGATAATGTGTTGTTATTGCTGTAAAATATTCAACATAGAATTCATGATGATATATTAAATCACAATAAGATTGTAATTGACCACTGATAGATAAATTTATTCTTGATGATGATGGTGTTAATGTCGGTGACCAGCATGCTTCTTGTGTATAATCAAGCATATTCAGAATATGTATCCATTGTAATAATAATGAGATATAAAATGATGATCATAATAATTTAAAACATTCATTTAAAATAGTTAAATATGAAAATGTCTCAAGACAATGTAGAGTTTCATCATGAATTAATCGTTGACATAAATCATTTACAATTGTTCGAAATTTGTTTAACTAAAATAAAATCATAGATTTTATATAAGCATAGGAATTTTAAAGACAAATGTTTTTCGCTAGCTCATTAGTAATTAATGAATTGCAGGAAAGTTTTATCTTCAAATTAATGGGTGATATGTACATAAAGATAATCGGATACAAGAAAAACTAATGTCATATTGATTTGACCACATAATTGTCAAGTATTAGTTAAAATTCGTAATATTACGTCATGTAAAATTCGAAGAAAAGCTCTGAAAATAAAAACGAGAATAATAGTTTTTAAATTATAAATAAAATCATTTCGAATACTTACGCACTAAAAGTTTCATCTCGTGTTCCATTAACTGATAATAAAACATCATTCTATCGTGTTAATATAGTATATTCAGTTAAATTTTGTACAAGACATCGAAGTATTATATTTATATTGATTAATTATCGATTTGTAGATTGACAATTGACATTCTAAAAAAAATTTTCAACTACAGGAAAATTTTATAAATAAAAACAACGGACATTTCTATTTGCTAATGCTCGAAAAGCAACAACAAACGGATCAATTGATCGTAATGCAACTGATGAGACAACATCAAATAGTGTTAATTGTGTGGAATAAATATCCAAAAGTGATTGATCCTATTTGAACAAAAAATAACCTGAGATTGTAAATGAGCAAGAAGTAAATCGACAATTTGTCGTGAAAGACGTTTTCATTTATCATCTTCATTTCGAACACTATCAACAATAACTGTGAACAATCATAAATCCTATAACAATATAAATTCTATTATTATTTTGTCAGTACATACACATGACATGAAAAGATACTTTTATTTATAATAATTAAGACGCCTAGTTTTCCTTCAAACTCAAATACATAACAACAAGATGATTATTTTCAGATCATCGATTCGTTGAAGTGTGGGTGTGAGTTCAATCGAGGAGAAAAATTACATATACACACCCACACTCACAACTTCTCGAGTTTCTAAGATATTTGAGACCTTATAGAGGGACACCTTTTGTTCACTCTCACTTAATAAAACTTTTTAGGAATTTTAATTATTCGCATAACTCGAACAAGAAAAAAATCATATAAAACTGGTTCTAATGCTGCCAAAGCTAAATAAAGAATTTTAACGATAATTTCTTTTTCTCGAAAATGTTTCTTTTTTTTGCTTCCTACCATGTGTTTCAGGTTCATGTCCACTTGTTAATAATGAATCATAATGTTTTATTAAATCTTGTATTTTAATAACTCGTTTTGAATGAAGTGTATCATGTGATAACATAATAAGAAATTCAGCAATACAATAAATATAATGCTATTTAAAAATAAACGAAACGAAACGATTAGAAATGCAACGAATTTCATCAGCTTCTAATTAACTATTATTAACACAAATTAAAAGTAATTGAACAAGTAAATCGAGTACAGCAGCTTGGAAATCACTTTCATTTGTATTAATATATTTTTTAAGACTAATTTTATCGTTCAATAAAAACTAAAATAGAAGACAAAAACAACAGAATAGATCAAATTCATTTTTTTGTTTATTTTACTCTCGTATTGCACTATTTATACTTGATGCATAACGTGAACTAAATAAAATAAATTATCGATTGTCGAATAGTTATTGTATGAATATAAGTTAAAGAATTATTTAATGATACTTGTGAGGAAATATTTGAAGATTTAATAAAAACTAAATTAAAAGAATATTTTTAAATGAATGTTGTGTTAACAGAAAAAATGATTTTCAAATTTCGAATTGATAGCGTTTCTTGCAGATCGCTCACGTCAACTAGATGATTTAATAATCGAATTTTAAGATAGAACCGAATCAAAAGATCTGACACTTTCACAACAAAACTACTCTTGTTAAGATCATCGATATTCGTAAAATCAGTTTTTCTGTTACTATGACATTCTTATATTGAAATTTTCCTTCTCTAGGAAAGACCCTTTCAGAAACCTTCATTATAAGATTTCCATCTAAAGTTTTATCCATAGACAAGTTTCAGACACAATACAACATCCTAAAGGTTTTAGCTTAAACAATAAATAAAGAAGATTAATAATTGAAATTTTCGTTACAATAAATATTTACTATTTAAAAGAAGTTACGTTTTGTGTACATTGAATATTGATTTAAAATAATTAAGTGTTTCTCTTCCAAATTTTTTTGATAAATCTTGTGTAGAAATAAGACGTAAAACTGATTTGATAGACAATAATGATCATTTCTGATGAATTTAATAAACTTTTATGTATTTGATAAGATGAACGTATTAATTCGGATAATTTCCAAAAGTACCTAATTGTGTACGATTAACTTTTTTTATCTTTGTCTGTGTTTGATGTTGTTGATGAATCTTTATTATTCTCTTCAAAAAAAAAACAAATGAATTAGTTCAGACGAAACATGATTACATATATTCTTCAAATCTAACACTTTGGAACTCTCTTCTTCTGTGAAAACTGAAATATCAACTATATTCTGTCCAAAAGAATGATGATAAAATAGTTCAATTTTTCGAATTATTTGAATCATTTGTGCTACTTTCAAAACATTTTTTCGTTTGCTGAGATTTGATAAATCTTCAAATAAAAAGAAAGAATTAAAAAAAAACATAATAAATATCTTTTTTTTCTCTTTACTTGAAAAGATTAAATTATTGAGATCATGTAATATAAAGGGATGTTTAAAAAAAAATTATAAATAAACGAAGTTCATCATATTGATTATGAAAAAATTGGTCGAATTGTTGTTGGTCTTAAAACATTTGAAAGAACATAAATATCTTCTAAACATCCAACCTATATAAAAGACAAAAATGACAAACAATTTGTATTCGAGTTAATGCTTGAGCGTGTAATGAATGATGAATTTTATATATCCATTGATATGGTAAAAATGAATTGTGATAAACAAAACCTTAAAATTAAAAAGTAGCTAATAACTAACTTAATGTAATAAAATCGACTTATTCATTCAAATTCTAAAAAAGCTACGTAGTTAGTATCTCTACAAAATACATACTTAGCAAAAGTCGAAGCAGTTACTTGACGAACACGTATATCAGGGTACTGTTGTTTTAATTGTTTTTGTTGTTGTTCAAGATAAGTTAATATTCGAAAATCAATATCATCTATAAGTTGAGCTAGACTAACCTATTTTATATACATACAAAAAAAAATTATTATAATCATAAATTTCTTTTATCTACTTTAGCAAGAATACAGGAACTTGTAGTATGTTGAATAGAATCTTCTAATAATTTAATTCCTATGATTGTAAATGCATGACTATTAATTAATAAAAAAAGGTAAATGTTCGTAAAGCATTTAGTGAAACATGTATAACACGTGCATTATTATCATTAAGACATAAAACCTTGAACTGTCTTGTGAATCAGTTGATACAAGTGAACATTGATTAATAAAATAATTAATAAATGAATTTGATAATGACGATAGTGTTAAAAGATGAATTGTTGTTTAAATTAATGTAACAAGTAAATTTGCACATGCACCACGTAAATGTAGATCACCGTGTTCACATAAAGATAAAAGATATGTAATATCTTAAAGAAAAGAAAAAAAAGATACCTTGATGTTCGATAAATTTTAATGTATTTCAAGTCAGATAGAGATGAGAATTTCATTTTTCTCATTAGGAAATTTCATATCAGTTACAAAATTTTTATTTAATCAAAAATCTTCAAAGACTAAAGAAAAACTTCTTAGAGGATACAATTGATTTCATATCTCGAACTTCGGCTTAGAACTTTTTTTGAGGTAGTTACGTGATTATATAATTTCAATCTCTGATGTATCAATGCAGGCTTTGAGCTTCAATAAAATGTTCTAGTCTTTTGTTGGTTTCAAAAAAATTAAAAGTAGGAATAGGACTAGAGTTGCTGAATCAATATTCAGAAATCTCCGTTCTTGAATTTTCAGATTCCAATATATATATATGTTTCAACAATTTAATAGTGAAATTGTCATATCTATCAGATAACTTTCACTAAAACTTTGAGACTTTAACCAATTGAAGCCACGTCAACTAAACTCTGCCACAATCCCCTTCACCTAGACCTCCTACTATTACGGTATTAGAAATAATTTTGGATTATAAAAAAAAGTCAAACAAGAATTAAACATACTTTCAGTAAGATAAACAAATGGATCAAATTGTTGATAAATACGATAGACATATTGGTATAGCACATTTAACACTAATACATGATTCATCATCACTTTTTATTGTATCATCCATATTAAGTATATATCTAATCGGAAAAAAATATAATTGATTAACAAGTTTAGCAGCTGATATTCATTTTTCATTATTAATCATTGATGTTGAATCGAATTCATCATTCATTTTATTTACTAAAATATCTTGTTGTTCATTAATTTCAATAAATCAACGTTGATATGTTGAATAAGCTATTATTTTAGAAAAAAAACACAAATAAAAAAAATTCCTTTTTTTTCTATAGATCCAATTTGGGTTGAAATTAAGAATTCATCTAAATCAAATAAATTTGAATAACCAAGTAGTTGAATAAGATTTTTTATTAAACTAAGATAACCAATTATTAAATATGTACTAGTATTTTGATTTTGATGTTCAAATAATTGATCTATTAAAATAAAAGACAATCATAATGAATTGAAATTATTATTTGAAAGAAAACTTACCAATTACATTTGCCATTAGAAAACGTGCTATAACCATAGGATAACATATTTGCTGAATAGGCCATGAGAAGTTTCTAAGAATAGTTTAGTAGTTTACTAAATATTTCAAAAGAAAACTATTTATTATTGATATTAGGAAAAAAAACAGAAGAATTCGTTTTCACTCGATTTCATACTTCAACTATAACGATAGCCAGTGAACTACTATGACTAAACCATTCTTAAGTTGCATGAAACTCTACGCTCGATTACTTTCGAGGGCGGATCGCTTCAAATGATGGACAGTTTCTCAGTTCGTATTTCGTCAAATAGTATCAGACTGCCTATTCTACATTTTCTGAAAAACATCCTCTCCTGCTAGAAGTTTTAACCGAAACATGGTAGGGCAATTCTTTTCTATGTTTCTATTCAACCGTATGACATTTTTCTGATTACTTCTTTAAAAAACTTGTCTTAGATGACAAAGATTTTTCTTTTACTTACTTTAATTTCTTTATCATTAATCGGTCGACCAAGACTACGAAAAATAAGTTCATAATATTCTGATAAAATGGTTGAATCTTTTTCGCATGTATTACATTTGCTAATTTGGCAAACCGTCATAGAATATCTAATCGAAATTAAAAAAAATCCTTATTATAAATTTAAGTCAAATAATAAAAATAACCTTTTAAAGCATTTGGTCCAACATTAGGATTATGTTTTATAGTTCGATGTAATTCAACTTGGCTTCTTGTTAAAACTACTTCTTTTAAATTCTATTCTATAATTCATACCAAAATTATACAAAAAAAATAGAATTTCTTTTACAATACTTTAACAAATTCATTAAGATTTTCCTCGACAGTCAATCTTACATCATAATCATTTTCATCACATGTTGTAAATAATGTTTTCATACTAGTTTTTATTAATTTAAAATAATTTTCATTGTTACCTGTAGATAAGAAAAACATTGTAGAAGAGATAAAAAAAA